AGCCTAAACCCTAAACCCAAAACCAAACCCTAAACACTAAACCCTAAACCGGTCTCCCTGAAAAAAGGGCCCCAGAGCTCCCTCGACCCAAGCGCTGTGCACTGCAGTGGTGCGCGCGCGGAGGCTTCAGCTTCAAGCACCTCCGTCTGGGGATTTAGGGTTTAGTGGATTTAGGGTTTAGGGATTTAGGGTTTAGGGATCTAGGGTTTAGGGATCTAGGGTTTAGGGATTTAGGGTTTAGGGATTTAGGGGGATCTAGGGTTTAGGGTTTATGGTTTAGGGATCTACGTCTCTGGTCCTGTAAGTAGGGCTTACGGTTCCAAGCATGAGAGTCCGGGATTTGTCCGGTTTACAGCTGGCGCTATTCTTCTTGTTGATTGTTGCTGTCAGACTCTTCTTAGAAGCGCATTTCGGAATGGTCCTTGCTGCAGAACTCACATTACAGAGCACCCCACGAAGAACCCGGATGAACATGCCCGGTCCGCTTCCAAAGATGCTCAAGCCATGTCCCTGAGCCCCAAACCCTAAACTAAACCCTCAGCCCTAAACCCTAAACCCTAAGCCCCTTGCACTTCTGGGAGCCCCCCCTAGTTTGGGGCTCGGGGTGCAAAGGACGAGGTTCTTTGCAGGACTCTCGGTGTAGAGTTGAGGGCCGTGGGGCAACAAGATTGACGGTTTGAGGTTTAGGGATTCGGGTGGCAGGGGTTCGGGGTTTAGATTTTGGGGTTCGGGGTTTAGGGTTTTACGGTTTAGGGCTTTAGGGTTTTAGGGTTTAGGGTTTAGGGTTTAGGACTTTGGGTTGATGCTTCAGAGCGGCCACGGTGAGCGGAACCGGCGCGGGGTGATATACAACTACAGCATCTCGAGACATCCCCCACCCTTAGACAGCTAAAGCTCCATTGGAAAAATGGCCCGGCTTTCAAAACACATCCTGAACTCAGAAGCATATCGGGGAAAAGTCAAAAGAGCAAGAAAGGACCAAGAAGAATGATAGTAAGAATTGTAATGTTTTTATAATAACATGAACCATCTAGCTTAACAATAACAATAACAGAATAAGAAAATAATAATGATAAGTGAACAATAATCATCATCATCATCATCATCATCATCATCGGCAACATAATCATTGTAAGCATAATCACCATAATCGTCCTAATCAGAATCATATAACCATAAAACACCAGAAATACCAGAAGTGAAACAGCTCTCGGGATCCTGCTTGTGGCACTGCTTGGGTGCCGGGGCATAGTCCCCGAGCTCTCCGTCCTTGCTTTCAAGCGCCTCGCCTGTCGTTGTTGTTTTCGACGTCTCATGGTTGTGGTAATTCGGCTTGTTGAAGGACTGTTATCAGATTCTTATAGGCGCTCTGCACGGCTTTTACCTGGGTTTTTGCAGGGCTTAGTGTTTCAGTGCTTGGGGTTTCTGTGTCTAAGAGTTTAGGCATATGATGGCCACTCCAGGTATTGTGCTGTTGTGGGCATTGTTGATGCTACGGAAACTACACCACAGGGGCTGGAGCTGCAAGACAGGACTCGTCATAACTAGAGAGGGATCGGCCGAGGGTATAGCTTGGCAACAAAAACCCTTGGGACTTGCAGCGGTAACCAATTACCCTAAACCGTAAACCCTAAACCCTAAACCCTAAACCCTAAACCCTGAAACCTAAACCGTCGCCCCTTTCTCAAGTCAACTGCTGGGTCTCGTTCGTGCTTGACATGTGGTCTACCGTGCTGCTTGGAAGGATTCTAAGGGTTCTTTTTGAGAAGCTTAAGTTCTCGCATCGCTGCAAGAATTTTCCGCAGGACGATACAAAAGCTACACATATAGGCGCCTTGAGACTTACAGATGAATCCTCCGGACTGATATTGGTGGGTGGTTGTCAAAATTATGGTCCCTTTTTGGGTCCTTATTATAATACGGCACCTATTATTTAGGGTACCCCAAAAGGGCCCATAATGTTGACAACTACCTTGGTAAATATTCTCTTCTTGGAGAGTGCCTTGCCTCGATCCTACAGCTTCTTAGTTCGAAGCCCCTGTGCCGTCTGCCCGAAATGTAGGCTTCAGCGCTAAGGGCGTAGGACCCCGTTTAGGGCGTAGGGATTGGGGTTTAGGGGTTTAGGGTTTAGGGTTTAGGATTTAGGGTTTTGGGACTAGGGTTTAGGGTTTAGCGCTTAGGGGCTAGGGTTTAGGGGTTGGGGGCTTTGAGGCTTCGGGGTTGCTTCCCGGTGCCTGGAAACTCCGGGGGCACCCCCGGATTCATGCACACAGCCATGGCATAGTTGTACAGGATGTTGACCTGGCGCAAAAAAACTCTCTACCGATAGGGGTCCCAGCAGGGTTGAGGGGTCTTGCGTTTTTGGGGGGTTATACCCTAAACCCTAAACCGTATAGGAGTATAGGACTTGTAAGGTTTGGGGGGTTGGGTCGAGGAGGTTAAGGGTTTCGGGCTCGGGAGTGTGGGATCTTCAACTGGCGCAGCACGTCCATGGAGCGAGAGTAATTTTGGATATTCCCACAATGTAGCATTATACACAGCGTGACTTTAGACTTAGTCTGAAGCCATACAGCCCGTAACGCCCTAAACTCTTACCCATAGAAACGATATGGGTAGTTCTCGAAATTAGGGTCCCTTTTAGGGTCCCTTTTATGAACGTGCCGTACTCTATTGGGGACCTGAAAAGGGGATCCTAATTCAGAGAACGACCCATATAATATGACTAATGGCCATGAGACCCGAAGGAGGCTTCCTTCTATGAGGTTGGACCAGGAGGGCTCTTCGGCTCTTCGCTGGCTTTGGGAACCAAGGGTTTACGGGTTGGGCCCTCCTGGCGGTGTCGTTCGGTGGGATGCTTAAGCTTTTCGGGTTGAGGGGTGAGGGGCTTAGCGTGTAGGGTATTCCTGCCGGAGGAATTTTGCATGGCATGGCGTTCAGACTCTTAGGCTTTTTTCGATCACTGAAGCTGAGGTATCACCGCATCTTTCTGTGCTTTTTTCTTCTGTACGATTTCCCAGTTGTCTGAGAGCAGCGACTTGAAGCCCAGAGCCAGTCGAAATCCCAGAACCGAAAAGCATCGAGTTAAAAAACCCAGGTGGTGGGTTTAGGGCTTTGGGGTTTGCGGGGATGAGGGGTTTAGGATGGCCCTCGGGGCCCCGACGAGCACCCAAGAGTGACTTCAGAAGCGAGCGCGGCGAGACCAGTAGGAAGCATCCCAGCGCCATCTCGAGGAGCAACCTGAATCATAATAAGCCTTTTTGGGGGCACCTTATAGTATACTTGAAACTGTAAGGAACCATAAGGAATAATATTGGCAATCCTGGATCACTCGGCAGGGAGACTGCCTAAAATTGCCCATTTAAGGGACTTAAGCAGTAAGGTTACAAGTTACATGTGAGGTGTTTCTGGGTAGTTCTCTAAATTAGGGGGTTCCTTTCTAGGTCCCCAATATAGTACGGCACCCTTATAAAAAGGACCCGAAAAGGGACCCTCCTTTAGAGAACTACCCATAT